CTTCTTCTTCTTCTTCTTCCTTTCCAGTTTCCTTAATGCATATGCAGCATATACCCTGCCTTATATAATGTTATACTAGCACCTACTGCTTTAACTGTTCTTCCCTTCTCATGAGCTGAAATTAAAACTTTAGCATTTCAACTAGTTTACTAGCCACTGGGTTTTTTTTAAAGAAGAAAACACTAGTAATAGGGCCTTGGTAGGTGAATTCATCTAATAATTATATCACTATGAATATATATTTTTTTGCATTGGAAAGCTCAATTGGCCCTTATTTAATTCTAAGATAATTCTAAGATAAAATTTATAATATGAATTGTTCCGATTTGGCTCAGTGTGATATATGAACTAATCTCAAGTAATAAACTTTGGTTTACAATATATATTTTCAGATAAGCCAAAATAAATACTTTGGATTGTTTTTTATTGTATGTGAATCAGGTGTAATACTTTCTGCAGGGCAAAATGTATCCTGTTTAGGCAAATGTTTATACGAGCTCTGTTTTTGTCTATTGAAGCTGTCTGGCCTTTTGGGAGGAAGGATATTTTGTGTTATCTTTACTTTGCTTTCTAATGGTTAATGAGAAGAACAAGTGTACATTATTGTATAAAGTAAATAAATTGGCTGAGAAGTAGTCTTCTCAGACTCTTCATAAAATGTGTACTAAAAAGCTGTATTCAGTGTAATATATATTGAGTTCTATTTATGCAATAAGATTTGTTTCTCCATCACCTACATTCTAACCTCAACACACACACAAAAATACAGCATTTTTAGTCTCTAATTTGAGAGCTACTGATCAGTTTTAATGTATTTCAGAATATTGAATACAATTTATAACAAAAAAATCCTTATTTTTTAATGGAACTCCAGTTTATTTGTCTTCTCTGAATTTATATTCTTTTGAGACTAGAAATTATTAAATTAAAGATGAGAAATATTTGAAATAATACATTATTTTTCAAATTATAAAATGTAGCTAATTATAAGAAAATAAGGATCAGCTAATACATAATAAAAGAATTGGGTTATAGAAAAAACTTCAAAGTATATACTGTATTCTATGAATTTACAATAAAATTAAAATTTCACAAGAAAAAGTTTGCAAACTTTTATATAATACAAACTTTGTCTATTATGCAGTTATGTTACAGCCTTTTGATTATGATCCAAATGAGAAGAGTAAACATAAGTTTATGGTACAGACGATCTTTGCCCCTACAAACATTACAGATATGGAAGCAGTGGTATGTAAATATCTACAATTTCAGTTTTTAGTAAATGGACAAATATGAACTCCTTTTCAGGTTTTTTGAAATCAGCCCCCTTGGACTTCCTTTACCTCATATATCTCAAACTTTTCCAACTTCTCTGAATCTATTTTTCAAAAGCAGCATTAGTATCTGAGAAAGATTTCAAATGTTCACTTAATTTAGAGACAAAGTAGTGGAATTGTGATGGTTTCTGCTTGGGGGGGGGGGAGACATTATTTCTCACAGCAGCTTTAGTGTTTTCAATATTTTGTCTGTTTGAGAAGCTTCAGCAATTTTGAACCTACTGACATATTTGGATATTTGAGACAGTATCACGAGGAACACTACAAAATGGCTGGTTAATTTTACTCTGTAAAAATAAGAATTGCAACAATTTAGACTTGTATCCCCCCCCCTCATTTTAAAGATTGTAATCTACAATATTACAACTTTGCAGGGTCCCTCCTGCTGAGAATGTGCCTGTCAAATTTNCCAAGACAATCTCAACCTTACACGGGAAAAGATTGTTGACCCTAAAAGGCAAGAGCTATCCACCAGTTTGAGCTGGAATTGGCGCACTTTAGGATGACAAGAAGGAGAAGCATTGCCAAAATCTGGGTTTGAATTTATATTTTTTTAATTTTATGTTCCTTTGGGGAGAGATCAGTTTAAATTAAGAATTGTCCTCCTTTCAGGCAAATACATCATTATAATGTTGCTAACTGCTTTATCAATCTGTTCTCTACAGATCCACAAGGTGGTGCTACTAGCATTTTCTTAATCCTTGTTTTAGGAGAATTATTATTCTGGCTAGTGTACTGTGATTTCATGCTTTTCTACTATGGCTGCCTTAATATTTTAGTTGTTAAAAATAGTTTTGACTTTAGAGAATAATGAAGACATTTTATAATATAAACATTAGTTAATAAATATGTTTTTGTTTTTTTAGTACATTACATGTTTGCTCCCATCGGCAATATTTTTAGTTAAGGTGGAAAAGATGTTTTTCCGTATTCTAATATAAATAATAAAAGAAAACAAATATCAATTATATTTTGCTAAATTATGGCCTTGAACTTGTCATTGACAATTCTATTCTTCTGAAATGTTTAAGGTAACTAGGTTAAAGTAAGCATGATAATTATGAGTGAATATACTAAGCAGTTTCCCCCTCTATCCTAACTACCATTTTTGTAGCTACCAAAGGCTTACAGGGAAAGTCTCTGTCAATCTGGTAAGGCCAGTTCTAAGCAGAGAAAATCTAACTCTGTTAATCTCTACTTAGATAAGCAAAGTACATACAATTTAATCAAAATAAATATATGATGTTCAATGTATTACAACTCTTCTGCCTAAAGGGTAGTTGTAACAGGATAATGCTGTAGGTTCAATTGAATTTTGCTGTCTCATATTTAATAGGAGGGTGGAGAGATGGAATTTTTTTGTAGGTACATAAATGGCAAAATTGTATCTTAAGTATAGAATATGTGGGGAATGAATAAGGGAGTAATTGTCCTAGTGAAAGAACATACTGAGACTTATTCTTATAGTTTTGCATTTGTAGTCCATATTTTTGATTAGATTGTGGTGAGAGAAGAAGGTATAAAATAGTACCTGGAATGATGTGTTTGTTTTCTTGGCTGTTCATAGTATTTTCATGAGTCTTCTCCAACACCAATGTTCAAAGGCATCACTACTGTTCCTGCCCTTCTTAAATGTCCAACTTTTGTTTAATAGGAAATATGGCTTGCATGATTCTGATTTTTGTAGGCATAGACACATCAAAACATTTGAATATCTTTTCCAAGACCTTAATAGTTGCTGTACTAAGTGCTAATGTGAGGCTTATTTGTTCCTTGTTTTTGTTGCTTGTTCCTTTACTGTTGATGGTTTATCCTAAAAGGCAAAAGCTATCCACCACCTTAGTATCTTCACTGATAATTCTAAGAGAGCTTGTTGTGCATGTTGTTAATTTGGTCTTCTTTCTATTTAATTTAAGTTCCATTTTTTTACTGTGCTCTTTAACTTTAGTACTAAGGCTTCCAGATCCTTTGCATTTTCGGCGATCAGGGTAGCATAAGTTATTTATATTTCTTCCTCAATTTTAAAATAATGTTGTTGTTGTTCTTCTTCTTCTTCTTCCTTTCCAGTTTCCTTAATGCATATGCAGCATATACCCTGCCTTAAATAATGTTATACTAGG